CAGCTGATGTGATCCTGATAGTCAGGTTAGCATCTGAATGAAGAGTTTTCCTAAGCAGATGCATCCTGGGCTGGTGTTAACATCCTAAATTCTCCCCAGCATCAGTCTGTTAACAACAGAGATGTGAAGCATCTACAAGCTCCTTGCCTCCTTAGGAGGGGGAGCGGCACACTTACACCGTCACCTACAACTGCTTCACAACCCCCTTATTCGCCCCACCCTGCGGCAACATGCAGTGTGTCAGCAAAGAGCCTCGGAGAGCATGAGCTGTGCCTGCCACGACCACCACGAAGGGCTCTCAAGGTGCTTGACGAGGGGATCTCACTTTTCCCAGGAGGAAAAGCTTGCCCAGTTATCTCGGATAACTTCTGCTGGCGTTGAAAACGCTGTCCGAGCTGCAGGGGGTGGCTGATGCGCAGGAAGCTCTGAGCAGGGACCTGACCCATGTTGCAAACGCTTTAGGGATTAGATGGAAGCCAAAACAAAGCACCTTCACCGAGGTCTTTCTCACCACGTGTCTGCTCTTGTTGGGGCATCGAGCTGCTTTGAGCTCTCCATGGGCTCTGTATGAAAATGCCCACAGAGAGTGAGCTCTGATGTAGGCTTCCTACCTGCAGGACAGAGCTGCAGCTGAATCTTAATCTCATTTAGTCTTAGGCTTTAGGTGAGGAGGTGTTTTGTATTGCCGCTCTTTTTAACCAGCAAATACACATTAAAAAAAAAAAAAAAAAAAAGAAGCAGAAAGAGAAAAGAAAGAGCCAGAATGATAAATCCCAGAAACGCAGGCTTTACTAAGAGGTAAACCATGGATGGTTGGATTTTTTTTTCCTGTCTTCGTTTCAGTTTCGTAGGATGAAAATATTTATTTGATCAATTTTCTGCACCTGTCTGATTAAACCATTATCCTGCCACCACGCAAAGGGAGCTACCTGCTGCTGCGTAACTGGGCAGAGTCTCTGTGTTAGCTTGCATAAGATCCTACCTTGTCCACATCATTTTTGCGTGTGTTCTTGGCAAAAACCCACAGTAACCTGATTTATAGCTTTAAAAAGAAAAAAAAAGGCACGCCACCTTTTTAAAAAAAATCAGCATAAGTTATTTTATACAACATCTATTACTGTAGACATAATGATTTTAAAGTTCAGGTCTACTACATACCATAGGTGAAATCCACCAAGGTAGCTCCTATAATTGCTGTACAATAGCATTGTACTCCAAACAACAGTATTTTAAGGGCAAATTGAGGATCACCTACCTTAGATTGTGACGCTTCTGTTGCTGGAAATTTTCTCCTGCTCTGCCTCCAGTTTGCATTTAGTTTAATAAAGTGTTTTTGCAGCTGCAGTTCAGTTACTCTTTGCTTGGATCTTGATGTTTAACTCTTTTTTTTTTAATGTATTGATATCCAGAGTCTAAAAATGGATGCTCTAAAATTTTTCTGAAGTCTCGATGTGCATTGCTGAGCAAATTGGAGATGGTCAAAATACTTAGAGGAATGGAAGAGATGCCACTTATGTACTGAGTGTGGAACCCCAAAAATGGTCATTTTTAGCCACCTGATGATGAGGGTGATATCACGGAAGGGAGCAAAAAAAAAGTGAAGAGGCCGGGAGCAGAAATTGCAAGAGTTTTGAGAGGAATTCCCCTGCTCTACAGACAGCTTGCAAAGTTTTAGCACTAAGCAACTGTTTCTGAACAGTAGTAGTAAAATGCTATTTGCTGCAAACCACTTCCAGGCAGAACTTCGCACCAAGTAAGAACTTTGTGTGTGTTTCCTCAAACTTCTGCGGTTTGAATGAACCCGAATGCTTTATGCAGCTCACGCCTGCCTTTTGATCCCGTACTCTTTGTGAATACAGGACAAAAAGACAGTTTCTGCTTCAAGGTCTCTTGTAAAACAATCCCTGCAACGAGAATGAAGCAAGTGATGACGCCACGCTGGTACCAGTGCCGCTTATCCAACAAACACTTTTTATTTTTAGTCTGTTTTTTCTTCCCTGAAGCACCTGCTTGCATGGCAGAGCATGCTCGGGTGCCTCTTCCACAAGGACATCACCTTCATCACCAGCAATGCGTTGCCCCAGGAGAGGCACCATCATCCATCACCAAACCCAGACCCCTGTGCAGGTCCAGCCGAAGCCCAGGTATGTTCATCGTGAGCAATTACGGGTTGTTCTGTGATAACGGCCAAGCCCGTTGCCTCGCAGGATCTGGAGGCATAACGAAGGGCAGTTTGTTCGTCCACACACACACACAAATCCTCTTTTGCACAAACCAGATAATCTTAATTGAGGGAAGTGCGGATGTGGCGATGGTTATTTCAAACCTGTGTGGACATAGTAACTGTTGCGTTACTGCGAGTGACTTTGATCCGGTTTTTATTCAAACAAAGATGATTGGTCGAAAAAAAACCTACTTCTGAGAATGCCCTGGGCTGGTCCCAGCACTCTGCGTATCTCCAGGGTTTGCAGGATAATGCTCACCATGTGAGAAGTGGCGAGTGGTTCAGGAGAGCTGATAGAAATGTCTTTGTTCTGACCCGGTGGTGCGCTGGTGGGGTCCAAGGTCCTGCACTTCCCTTCCTTGTGCGCTGGCATGCTCTGACAACAGATTGTGTTCTGTGTAAGTCAATCACTGAAGCACTTTGGAATCTCCCTGGATGAAGATAAATCTCTGTAAAGCAGTTTTGCTTTCTTTATCATTATATGATTATTTATATTGCATTAATTGTGGTTTTGTACCAAACCTGTGCAATAAACTTCTCAACATTGATTAAGCTTCAGCAGAATTAACCTAAGGACATTTATTACCGTATCAGTAGCAAAGCAATAGGATTGCCCTTGGATTAGCAACAAAACGTGATGCACAAAACTGATGGTGGGGAACGCCTAAGACTACTCGGTGTCATTTCCCCGTGCTGCAAGTGTTCAGTCTG